ATGAATGCCTTACTTTGAAAATTTCAGAAATTCTTTTTCAAAATGTTTTGAAACCAGTACTTTTTTCTTCCAAATAAAACACTTCCTTTTTCAAACGGATTCATCATATTTGATAGAAAGATAACATAATTTGACTCTTCTATGGTTCTTCATTCGAAAACACTTATGTATGTTGCTGATTTTAAGCTCTTTAATCAGCTCGTTTTATAGAAGAAAGAGAACTTCTGCAACTTTACATGGGAATGAGCCTTACAACTGCCGATTAAGGCTTATTATTCTGGTTAATCTCCGCTAATTGCGATCACCCCTCAGTAGGTATTGTCAAACCCTCCGAGTGTATTTCTGACATGAAATAAAAGTTAATCATAAAAAGAACATCTTCTCCTTCAATTTTTTGGAACAACATCAAGACGCAAAAGCCACAAATGGAGTAGGAGCTCAGTCAAAAATCGCTTAAGCGGCTACAAAGCGCCAATTATAAATTATAATCTCTATGATCGTAGAGAGATGCCTGTGGTTTTACTACTAACGAGGTTGAAAAGAGGAAAAGAGGTCCATTACTGTTTCAGGTTCTCTTGAATTTTTCCAAAACAAATTTTGAAATTCATTTTATGTAATGATTTTCATACTCATTCCGCCAGCATTGATTCTTCTGAAGCACTTTCGATATCAACAAAAAATTTTACAGAGTTCGTGTCTTAATCTCAATTTAGTCTAGGACAAGTAAAAAGTTCGTTCGGTTTTTTCCTAAGAGATGGCGTTATTGTCCATAGTAATAGTGTTACGTATCGCATCATGTCATACTATACGACGCCTACGTGAAAACGTATTTATTTGCGCTAAAAATTTGTCTTTGACAGGTTTTGGTGGGATTGACAAGGGTTCATCTACTACGAGCTGCTCCCCTATGGACAAACACTCAATCCGGCCCTCTACTGCCAACAACTCGACTGCTTGAAGGCAGCTTTCATCCAGAAGAGGCCTTCTTTGATCGGCGCATATTTGACTTAAATCGGACAAATGTACAAAAAAGTTAGCATTATCAAATCTAGTGCTCTTCAGTGCATTGGACGATCGGTATCGAGCTCGGTCGGTATCTACTTTTCGAACACCGCCGTGTTAAATTTTACGTTTATCCTTTAGGCGCGCCGCTCGGTCGTTTTGACCGGAGCTTGGGTAGCGCTGGGTTTGTCGGAAGAGTGAAGTTCCAAGGAGAGCTATAAATATAAATTTATTTTAAGAAATTTACGAAAATATGATGGAAGAATCCCCCAAAAGACTGTATCTATTCTTTCAACTTTGTAAAAGAGGAGAAAAATAGTATATATATTCGTACATGAAACAATATACATACAAATGATTATATAAGAAATTGACTGAAACAGCGGATTTCGAATGGTATTGTGCCGTTCAATTCTTGGCTATTACCACTGAGTTCTGCCATACGGAAGGCCAAGATTCGAGTCCTGATTCGAACAAGTATTTCTGACATGAAGTCCAAAAAAAAGCTCTGCATAAAAATCCATCGGCCGTACGGAGGCGACGATCCATTCATTGGTAAACCATCACAAACCACAAACTGGAGGACGAGCTCGGCTGAGTATCGCTTGAGCGGTTACAAAGCGCCATATAAATTATTTTGCAAAAACATGCATATTTATGTATAACTTTTTCATTTGCCATTTTATATATGCGCCATAAATTCTCAGCCGAAATAAATTGATTATTCGTGTCTTCTTCAATTCAAAATGCAAATGCAATGCCCCAAATACCAGAGTAACTCAAACAACCACACAAGCAGTAAATAAACGTACATATATCTGTCTATATACAATATATAACATAGGAAATGCACGAGTGAATCTAACAATAAAAGGCTGGCAAACAGGCTGGTACATACAAATAGGCACATAAATAAATAAATGTATATACATAAAAACATACATACATACATACATATGTATTTGAGAATATCCTTATCATGGTAAATTGTTTATTATATTAATACAAGTACACTGGTACGAAATTGTATGCATGTGTGTGTGTGTGTGTGTGTGTGGAAAAAGTTTATTTGAAGTTTCCATTGCCTACCACAATTCGATTTCTGCTTTCCACAAAAGAAAAGCAAAAATTAAAATAAAAAAACAGCAGCAAAAACAAGCATAAAATAAAATATTGAATGCAAATGGCAAACAACCGTCAAAATAATTAAAAAAAAAAATGAACAAAAACAACTACGAAAATCTAGCTATGACATTTGATTTTACGAGTATTTATTGCTGTCGCCTGCGCTACGTGGATGACAGACTAGGCCGCTTGGCTGCCTGCCTGACGGGCTGACTGCCTGTGGTGGGGTAGGCGGCATTTGTACGTATATACATATGTATATTTGTATAAAGGTATACATATATATTGTAATATATGTATGTGTGCATGTGTCTAGGACAGCTACTTTACTTGGCCCAAATGATTGGCGTTTTTGGTCGACCGCCGTTGCGCGTCTCACCTTCGCCGCTTGCCATCTTCTTTCGCTGCACTGCAGCGTGTTTTGAGCTCAACTGCGGCTTTAGACACACCAGCACCCGAAGCACCGTTGATTGTGTTCATTTATTTATTTTATTTTTTTTATTATCGTTAAAAATTGCAACAATTTCGTTTCGGTAGCAGCATTGTCATAAGTTTTATCAATATTATGGTTACAAAACACTTGGAAATAAATTCAATTCGATTGGCGCTTTCGCTGGTGCGCCTTTCTTCAATGCTATTTACATATTTACTAATTCTTCCTGTTACTTTAACTCTTTATTTCTTATTTTTATTTTTCTTTTTTGGTGGCACTTTATTACTCTACAGGCCAATGCATATCAAATGTTGCACTTTGCATGTATTCCGGTCAACGACTTTCGTGTAGAAATTGAAAAATTTTATGAATTTCTTTGAAAATCAAGTGATTAATTTAAAAAGAAAGAAAGTATGGGACTCAAATACTTAGAACAGAAATGAGAAATAGATAAAAGGAAACATAGAAATTTTTATAAAATGATTGCTCATAGGCTAACTACTATACCGAGATCAGCAGATATATAATATTTCAGCTGCGTTCTTATGAATGGAGACATCTTAACACTTATATGGCTGTGAGTCTCTTTGGTTGTGGACTAAGGGTTAACTGACTTCATGCTACTACCGAAACAGCGTCTAAAATTTCAACAGGAAAGAATTCCTAGCGCAAAATGACGGGAATGGCAGGCTTATGGAAAGGAAAGACAAGCGCAGATTAATCACTCAACAAGTCATAGCATAGCTACCCGAACGACTCGAAGTACTCAGTACTATTATATATACGAGCATATACAAATTGATCTGTTAAGTTTAGTCAGGTGGATCCTGCAGATCAACATATTCAATAACTCAGCATACGGTCTAGCAAACTAGAGAACTAAAGACAAGGAGTCTATTACAATGTTTAAAACAAGGATGTCCAAATTCTACAGTAACGAAATCGAAGTTATTGGAAGTGCCATGCGACAGTCTGAACTCGGTTCGGATATATATATATATAATTTGTGGTATGCCTCTTGATGTTCTTCCAACAAATGAAGTGACCTATAGTTTATTTTAAGCCGACTCTGCCGAGGGACGACCGCAATTTTGAGTATTGGTTGAAACAGGACAGACAGAGCCATAACGAACTCTTCGAATAAAGAACCGGCATCATTTTGTAATGCTTACTCAGTATTCTACTGGTCAGTCGAATCTCCGTACTGAAGATCGCGAGAGCTAACCTTCTGATGTCATCTATATGTTATTGAACATGCGAGGTAGTTATGTCGCGAGTCAAGAGCCCTTCTCGGCTCCAGCAGAACCGCACACACTTGACTTAGGCTGCTTCGTGAAATCCACTTAACACATTAAGTTTCGTATAATACAACACCTTGGCTTATTCGTTTAAGTAGCTGCAGAGCATCAAATGATCTAGGCCCCCGAGCGGGCCCATTGTGATACCACTGAGGATCCTAATGTTTCCCACCAAAAACTGAGTCGTACATCTTAGTTCCCGCTATCTCGCTTAAGACTACAAGTATTTCCGCTCTTAGAGGCTTCAACCTACTCCTCCAAAGTGCGTGGCATTCACAGAGAAAGTGCCTAAAGGTTTCAGGTTATTCTTCTTGTTTAAAACTTCTGCAGAAGTCGTTAGATGTCACGCAAAACCTCTTTGCGTACCTGCGCAATGGAATGTGCACTGTAAGACTTATAATTTTCTTTTTAGCTCGTTGCGTACAATGTGGCCTTCATCTGTAACATTCTGGCCACATTGTCCTGGTTACAAAACACGCAAACTCTAGCATGATGGCCCATCCTTTCAAGCTCATCCGTCATCTCATTCCCTGGTATGTTACTGTGTCCAAGCACCCATTCTATATTCAGAGAGAACGGCTAAGCAGTTCATGTTAAGCGATCTGCGACAGACCTCTACGGTTTTCAATCTTACTGTTACAGATCCCAGGGCTCTTAATGTCACCTGGCTATTCGAAAAAAATATGGAAAGGATTTTCCGTGAGCGCCATTGAACTGAGACCATTTGTTAGCCTCATGTTTAGCCATTAATTCCGCCTGAAAACCACAACACTGATATGAAGGGCTTTACAGATAGGAAGATCATTGAAGTAAACTCTGCTACTGGAGCTGTTATCTAGCTTTGACTAGTTTTGAGCCGTCTATATAAAAATAAATCCAGTCGGTGCTTACTGGTATTATCCTGTCTCAAAGGTTTATATCCGAGATAAACCACCTTGAAATCTGTCGTGAAGTTAGCGTAGGACGACTCTACCACCTCCCAGGGGATCTACCGAGCCGATAAAATAACAGTTACAATATATGAATTTCATCAACGCTCCAGATTACATAAATTAGTACTCCCTTAATTTAAAGGTTTTTCGATACCATTTTTGAATATATTTTCAAAGTATTAATTTTTTTCAATTAAATTTTGCGAAAAATAATTTTTCTAGAAATATATTGTATATAATTTGTACCAAATTCATGATAATGAAAACTACATTCGAGTATATTCAATCTAAAAAATGGTTCACAATAGCAGCGCACATATTGAAGCAAAAGGGTGCAAAGAGCGGACGACTTTTTGGGAAAGTATCTGACCCACAGCCCAACCTACCTTCAACACGACACACATATTTTGCAATATTTTTCTTAATCCACAATTGCAAGCAAAATTAATTGGAAGCCTACTTTTCCTTACCGCCGCCAGATCGTTCGAACAAGAAATAAATATTTGAGAGGAAAAAATTACTTAACTATAGGACTATAAACTAATCACCACGGCCTAAACTAAAGACGCTAATATACGTAATTATACACTTCGACATAATAGGGCCTCGCTGTAGGCTTTGCGAGATACTCAAGCCGTCTCAGATGCTCGCGCCATTGCCGATAGGTCATGCGTCGACGAGGCGCCACATACTCCACTGGTGGTTCGGGTATGGGGCAATGTTGCCGTACGGGCGGCACCATACGCGGTAGCGCCAACCGCAGCATGTTCGCTGTCGGCTTGTAGTTGAGTGCACCACGTATTATGGGAAAGCGTAGTGTTGACCAGAATTCTAACTCGTTTTCGAGATGATAAAACCACTTGGGTACTTTAATCGGTTGAAATGGGCGACCAGGATCTTTCTTTGGCGGTTCCTTTAGTGAGATTTTCGGCGCGTATGGATAGTCAGGTTCCGGTGGAAATACATACTTTTCACGTACTTCCCGCGGCTCACTCATCTGCGCAGCATGCTCCAGCAGTTCGGCGAGTGTATAGGTTTTCTTTTTCTTCTCCTTCTTTTTCTTTCCCTCCTCCTCTTTGGCAGGTGGCTTATCCGAGCAATGTGGCGGTGGTATATCACGTGGTGTGGCATTCTTGGAAGCCCAACGATAGAAGCGCACCCAATCACGACGTGTCATTGGACCGCGTTTCTGCCAGCGCGTCACTTCGCGCCTTGGCCGGGGAAAGTCGAAATGTTTAGGCAGTGAATTCTTTTCGACCCAGTCGAACCAGCGCGGATGTGGCTTCTCCTCCTCCACGGGTTCGGTGGTGGTCGTACGCACTATAGACATTATGATGTGTACTGCTGTGGTGCACGAATAGTTTGGATTTTAATGATTTTGTAATTTTTGGGTTCAAAAGCTCAAATCGATTGATACTTTACTTGTTGGAAATTGGACAGCTCTAACAGCAACTACTTGGGGTAATAATTGTTGCTGTAGTTGTCGTTATAACGTGCGCAGTTTATTTGTTAACTATTCACCTTTAGTGGCAGTGGCAGTGATTGGAGATGGTCGGGTGTAAAAGTAGCGAGCAGCAGCTACAAGTTCCTGGAGATTAACTCAGAGACCCTGTCAATAACGCTCGCTGTGGACAGAGCTTCTGTTCTGTATGATATCCTTTATTTGGATCTGGATTATAACACAATAATGTTGCTAACGGTTAATGGACGAAGAACATTCACATTCAATGCTGCTTCATTGATGAATTTTAATTCTTATGTTTGGGTGATTTGGTGGCGGTTGATGTTGCTTTCTTGTGTTGTTTGTTGGATGTTTGGAGCTGCTATTGTAGAATTTCCGGATTTTAAGTAGTTTTACGCCAAAATTTCAGCACAGAAATTTCGAATCGAAAAAACCGTTTTGGTTATTTATGTTTTTGTTCAAAACTCTATGCGAACGCACAGTTTTAATGCCAATTCTTGTCCAATATTTTTTAAATTTAAAAATAATTTTTTACACTTTTCAAAAACGGTTTGATTTCTAAATACTAGAATACGTGATATTCCAAGTTTTACTAACAAATACATATATATGTATGTAAACTAGAAGACCCAGCCACACGTTGTTGTGGATTTCCATATTTTCTTCAAATGAGTTGCTTGAAAAATTATAAAAAGTGTGAATTAAGCTTCACCTAAAAAGGGCTTACCACATATATTCAGAGGTCAGTCGATATTTCGTCTTCTTCGAAAATGTGTTCATTAATATAGGGTGTTTCATAAAGTGCGCAGTTTTTAAATTGCGAGATTATAAGACCATTTGACGTTCTTCCATTTGGAAGAACCTGGGTCAGTTGCAACCAGAAAATCGCCCGCTCGAAACCGTAATGTTCGAACGCAACAAAATATTGCGGTAGGGCAAGACTGTGAATGACAGCCCTATGAAGTCGACGATCGGATGGCTGATTTTTTGCAGTTTTAAAAACTCCATACTTTATGAAACACCCTATACTTTGAAAGCAACTCAGCGCTGATCGAAACTGGTACCATTTGCAAAACATTTCACTTTATCTATATAAAAACAATCGCCGGGTTTAGATGGAATCTTTGCGGTATGTTTCGTGGACAGGGTTGTAAAGTTCTTATGCACAGTGTTCGAAGTTGTCATTGGTGAAAGCTACGTCCCGGTCTCATGGCGCACGACAAGGGTAGGCAAGACAGGGCATCTGTACCCAATGAACTATCGCCAAATCAGTTTAACATAGTTTCATTTAAAAACATTAGAGCGCCTGCAAAATCACAACATGCCTAAGCAAAGAAGATAAAATCGGCTCTTGAAAATGAGAAATATGCTCTGAGTATCTTTATCGACATATCTGGAGCATTCAAAGACGATTTTAAACATTAGACTCAACAAGAGACAACTCTCTCCTTCGGGGAGAGATCTAAGGCGCAGTGGGAATTAGTTTTTTGACACGGTAATTGTGCAGGGCAACTCTAGCCGCTTGTGATTAATGTATTGCGGAAGAATATGGAAGAGAGAGCTGCCATGACCAGTCATAGCAAAGATTAAGTGCTTGACAACCTTCGGATCTCAGGCGAATCAGGCACTTAGAACCATCAACAACTGGGCTACTACAGCAGGAATCAAGTTTATTACTGATAAAACAGACATGGTTCTTTTCAAGGCAATTCAAAATTCCAGCTGGATCAAGCTGTAGCTAGGTAAGGCGACTGTCTGGAAACAGAAGAACCTACCTTTACTGGGTGTTAGCTCACGTGGCCAAGAAGGGTTTTCTTTTGGAACAGCACGTAATAAAGAATCTTCCAGTTCCATTCAGTGCAGGGAATCAAAAAAGTTATACTACTTAGGCGAATAGATTTTGGGAGCGTGATAAGAGCTGAAAATCGCGAAAACTATGTTCAAAACTTATGATGACAAACTTGCAAGGTTCTCAGTAGCTGTGAAGTGGCTGTCATATTTAAGCCACAAAGAAGAGTGGACAAGGGATCCACTTTCCGAAAAGAAATATAGTCAAAATGATTCGAAAAATCGGTCCAGCTCTTCAGAAGTAGTTCAATGACAAACACAATCACTGAAATCTTCATATATATTTGAAGACATATTTTTAAACCATTGAAACATTGCGGAAACCATGATGCAATCATTGCCAGGATGGAGAACTAAAACTCTGCGCATAGTATCGCCCTACTTTGGAGAGTTTGAGTTAGCTCAACTCAAGCACATGCGGAAGTTTCCCGTGAAACTTGTGTGGCGTAGATTTCATTGCTGGACATCTGGAATCCCCTCTACAGCGAGATTTATTATGTATAGAAGGGTTTCTTATCTCGCTAGTTCCTCTCTCATGCAATTGTCTGGGAAGTCTCTTTGCCTGGGTGCCCATGCTAAGGCAGTAATGCGTTTAATCGACAGTTTGTTTAGGTTTTTTCCACATTTTATAGTTACTTTGGATGTGGTACACTGTAGAGATCTGATGGCAACTTGGCTGACGGAATATATCGTATCTGATTTGAATCGCCTTTTAGCGGTTTCCGTGATTGTCGAAGCACGTTCCGAAGGTTTTGTAGTGCAGCGGTAATGAAAGTGCTCCTGTTACCAGGATGACAGCCAACCGTAGAACTCTCCCTCTAATTTGCTTCTGAAAGTAATTTTCTCGAGTGCCGACCAAAACAAGGTGACGCCGCAGAGTGGGATTGGTCTAACTATAGCTGTATAAATCCAGTACACGATATTCGGCCTTAGGCCGAATTTTTTTCCTGTCACCGTTTTGCAAGCGTAAAAAACTGTGATAGCCTTACTTGACCTTTCTGCCGTGTTCCGGCTCCAGTTTAGTTTGCTAACTATGTCCTAAGATATTTGATTTGGGTAGAAATGGTGATTTCCACGCCCTTTAGTATATATAGGTGGCTTAGAAGCAGCCGGTTTGTACATTCTGGCAAATATAATTATTTCGGCTTTTTCTTGGTTAAAAAAGTTTAATTTTAAATTTCAATTTTGGATTGAGTTATGGACCCAAATATGTTATTTTTTTCTCTTGAAATGGGTAAGGGATGTTGAAAAGGTTTTTTCTCTGACGATATGAACACAAAAATTTTTAATTGCGAAAAGTCTCTTGATTTTTGATCTCAATATTTATTTCATGATCTGAAATGTTTTTTTTTACGTATTTTTGAACCAAAACTGAGAATGAATCAGCCTCTTTCAAATATTTCAAAAATGGCAAAATCAACTCAGCTCCTCGTACCATGATCGGTATACATTTTGATGGGTCTCCTTGTGGTGCTTACATTCAGTAAGGATAGAAAAAAAATTCAAACAGAAATATTACAAAAATACATTAAAAAAATTTGCAATTCATTTAAGGCATTTGATCATTCCAAACAGAAATTTCAAATTCAATTTACATATATTTATAATTAGAAAAATACTTCATTAAAGAATTAAATGATTAAATTAATTAACATTATTAAATCTATTTCTATTCTCTCTAAAAAAGGACACTAGGCGTAGATCTTGTCACCAAAAAAGGCAAAATCGATAAAAGAGGCATAAAAAAAACACAAATAGAAAACAAAAACTGTTAAAGAAGATAATCACCGCGGAGGTGACATTATCTCAAATGGTCAACGGGAAAACCCATTTCCACCGACTAACCGTAAACAAGTCAAGCAGCGTTGGTGGCATCCGAAAGTTGCAAGCTGTGCCCAAATGTACCTGATATTAAGGCAATGATAATGAAAATGGTCAACGGTGTGTCAGTGGCATCAGTGGCTACAGAAATTGCCAATTGAAAATTGGAAAACTTGCTGATTTCATTGCTATGCAATATACTTGCCGTCTGTCTGTATGTCCGTCTGTCCGTCTGTCTGTCTGTCTGTCTGTCTGTGTCTGCTGACGCGGTGATCAAAGCGACCTCAGATGTGCAGCTAACAACACTGACAATGGACGATGGTCGATAGACGATCGATGGATAGTTGCTTGCCGGGATGGATAGATGGATGGTTGGATGATTGGGATAAATGCCGACCGGTTGAGTGGAAATGGAAAATACAGAATTGTAAATGCAGCAAGATGCACAACAACAACAATAACAACAACAACAACAGTTACAGCTGGAATTTAGCATTTTGTTGTTGTGATTTTTCTGGTGACATCCTCCTCAATGTATGCATGTAGATACATATTATGTTGTTAACTGTTGTTGCTGTTGTTTATGGTGACTGCCAAAGGAATTGGGTTATGACCTCGAATGCGTGTTGCGCGTGCGCCGCGCACCCAACAAGATAATACCGTTTATGGTAGTAGCCACAACAACAGCAAAAACATCAATGACAGTAAGGGAATCTTAGAAATATCATAAACAACAAATACAATATAAAAACTCCACAAAATAATGCCAGCAAATATCTTACAACAATACCAACAATATTTTTGTAAGTAGCTATACGGTATATGTATGTATGTATGTATGTGTGTGTTACATTATGCCCCACTCACAGTGCGCCTGTGATGCATAGCGTTGGTAAAACGACTTGCGTTCGTGCCAACAGCAACACTTTTTATTTGCAACTCTATCATTGAATGTCACCGTTGTTATTGCTCTGCTTGTGGATCTGTTGTTGTTGTTTTTGTTGTTGGTGGAACGATAATAAAGATTTTTTCATTTCGTTTGCATTTCAAATTCAATTGATTATATTTTCTTTTTTATTTCAAGAATTTTCAGCTAAAACTTTTACAACTGCAATGCTGTTGTAGTGTTTCGTTTTATGGTCGGACGATATCAACATTGTTTGTGGCAACGTTGACACTTGCATTGTTGCTAGACTTTGGTTAGCGGTGGCGGTGGCGGTGGTGGCCTGCCACTTGTGCGATCTTGAGCTTGCTTGAAGATTTGCTTGAGAATCGCGCTTGTTGTGGCTTGATTGCTGTTGTTGTTATTGATGGTGGTGGCGAAGGTGGTTTTGCTTTGCTTGCCACTTTAGCCGTTGCATATAGCGCATCATGCCATCAGATATGAAATTGAGATTCTCTTGCCCTAAAATGGCATGGAACGAGGAAGGAGAAATACATGAATTGGGCTACTGCTTTTCAAATGTAAAATATCAAACCGGTACTACTTTGTGTTGAAAAGGTGCGACGACTGTATATTAAAAGCGAAATAAATATAATATAATATGTATATACGTTTATATAAATAATAATAAATATATAAAATGAGCAATTAAATAAAATACGTAAATATTTAATATAATAAAATAAAACACAAGAAAATACAAAAAAACTAAATTACATACAATAAAATAAAATAAAAAAATAAATAAAATGCAATAAAAATCAATTAAAATAAATTCTACACAATTAAATAAAATAAAAAAATTAAACAAAATGAAATAAAACAAAATTAAAATAAAATCCAAAAAAATATAAATTAAATTAAATTCTATATAAATAAGTAAAATAAAAAATGAAATACAGTGCAATAGAACTAAGCGAAATTAAATTAAATTAATTATAATAAAATAAAAAAATAAAATAAAAAAATAAAATAAAATAAAATATTATACAATTAAACTAAATTAAATTAAATTAAATTAAATACAATAAAGGAAAAATTTAAGTAATATAAAAAAATTAAATTAATTCATTCAAACAACAATTAAATGTAACAAAAATTAAATGAAATACAGTTAATTAAATTAAATTAAATACAATAAAATAAAAAAATAAAAAAATAAATAAATAGAATAAAATAAAACTAAATTAAATTAAAAAAAACTAAATTATATTAAATATAAAAAAATAAAATGCAATTTAACTAAGTTAAATTAAATTAAATTCATTCATTCAAAAAACAGTTAAATGTAATAAAAATTAAATAAAAAAAATTAAATGAAATACAGTTAAAAAATATAAAATACAATAAAACTAAATTAAATTATATTAAATATAAAATAATAAACTTTAATTTAACAATATTAAATTAAATTAAATACAACAAAAAAATTAAATTAATTTCATTCATTCAAAAAACAGTTAAATGTAATAAAAATTAAATAAAAAAATTAAATGAAATACAGTTAAATAATATAAAATACAATAAAACCAAGCGAAATTAAATTAAATTAGTTATAATAAAATATAAAAATAAAATAAAACACAATTAAATTAAATTAAAGACAATAAATAAAAATTAAGTAATGTAAATTAAAAATAACAAAAATTAAAAAAGAAATACAGTTAAATAATATAAAATACAATAAAACTAAGCGAAATTAAATTAAATTAGATACAATAAAATTAGAAAAAAATAATAAATAAAATACAATAACACTAAATTAAATTAAAAAAAAAACTAAATTATATTAAATATAAAAAAATAAAATGCAATTTAACTAAGTTAAATTAAATTAAATACAATAAAAGTAAAAATTAAGTAATATACAAAAAAATTAAATTCATTCATTCAAAAAACAATTAAAAATAACAAAAAAATATTAAATGAAATACAGTTAAATAATATAAAATACAATAAAACTAAATTAAATAAAAAAAGAAACAAACAAAAATATCAGGGAATGTATAATAAAATTCAATAAGATAAAGTAAATCAAATATCATAATGTAAAAGAAATAAATTGAGATGAAAAAAATAATTTTAAATACAATAAAAAATAATAAAATATTAAAAAAATTAATAATATTAAATGAAAAATTAAACTAAACTAAAAGCAAAAGAATATATTATATATATATACAATGAAGTATAATATACAGAGTTATCCATTCCTTGGTTTCAAAGTTATAGGGCTGTATAATGACGCCTGTCAAACCCAACCTTCAAGTCGAACATGTTTTGCTTAAGTTAAAAGTTAGGCATTCAAGAAAATAGACCGCCCAACGAATAAAAACTGGTAAAACCCTCTACAAAAATGGTGTTTCTTACGTGCTCACGTTTCTTGTTTTAAGAGGAAATTTTGATACACACAATCGTCCAACTATTTAAGCAATCGTAAAGTTTTAAAGAAACTGGATCGGTTATAGACATTCTAAGACCTATGCATCATCGGTTCTCTCGTTCCGCTTCAAATATCGCTAGTGTAAGTGAAAGTGTAGCCGAAGACCTGAATGTATATATTTCTCGACGTTCCCAAGAGCTGGAACTTTTTTACGGCACACTTTGCATTTGGACTTACACCTACCTCCATGTGAAGTTCTGCTTCATCAACAACTGGAGCCAGCTGATTATTCGTAACGCCATACATACGTTCATTGGGTGCTTGAACAACAAACAGGCGGTCGACGATTTTTCCAAAAAAAAAAAAATTTCTTTAGCGACAACCCACATTTTTCAGTCGGGGGATACGTAGATAAACAAAATTGTAGTATTTATGGATCCGAGAATCCTCAAATATTTGAGGTGGTGCCTTAATACCGAAACAAAATGTACTGTCTGTTGCGTTCTTCGGTTCGGATGTGTGATTGGGCCTTACTTCTTTGAAGACGACAATGACGAGACTGTCACTGGCAATTCGCAGCATTATGCATTATGGTCAAATGATAATCACGTTTTCGACCGCTTACAAATAAAGAATACGACAAGGTGAAGATAAGGTTTGAACAAGATGATTCCATATACCACACAGTTCGAACGAGTGCTGCTCTATTGTACGAGAAATTTCCCGGCTGCGTAATCTCTCATCTGGGCGATGTCAATTCGATACCGAGATCGTCCGATATTACACTAACTTTTTTTGTAAGGCTATGTGAAAGACCGTGGTTATGTAGATAATCTTTTAGCACTTGAACACTGAAAACCCACATTCCCCCAGTTTTGGTTGAGATACCGCCAATATGTGCCAAAAGGTGGTCAAACATCAAAGGATTGAAGTTGCGAAAATTCGAACTGCGGTCATTTGAATGCCAGGGTTCAAACTTTATAATTAAAAATACTCGTATTCATGAAAAAAAGTTATTTGAAGTGTATTTCGCTCATCTTCAAAACCGCCACAAATCGTTCAGTGGATACAAAGCGCCAATTATATACCGTATATTTCTATAGAGCACAAGCAAAAACAATTAAAAATAAAATAACATAAAGCAAAATATTATAAAATAAGTCAAATATATTAAAATAAAGTAAAATACATGAAAAAAATATAAAAAAATAATATTAAATACATAACAAAAAAAAATTAAATTAATATTAAATAAATATAAAAAAAATAAAATTAATATTAAATAAATAAAATAATTCAAATAAATGAAAATAAAGTAAAATAAAAAAAATTAAATTTAAAAAAAAATATTAAAAAAATAAACTTAATACAAAAGAAAATAAAATAAGACAACCATTTTAAAATAAAGTAAAATACACAAAAATTATAAGAACATAATATTAAATACATTACAAAAAAATTTAAATTAATATTAAATAATTCAAATATGTCATATAAGTTAAAACAAAGTAAAATAAAAAAATTTATTTATAAAAAAAATATTAAAAAAAATTAAATGAAATACAATTAAAAAATTAAATTAATTATAAAAAAATAATATTAAATACATAACAAAAAAACTTAAATTAACACAAAATAAAATAAATAAAATTATAGTAAAGTAACAAAAAAAAAAAATTTTAAATAAAATTAAATAAATTTAAAAACATTAAATTAATTTACATGAAAATAAAATAAGTCAAATAAATTAAAATAAAGTAAAATACACAAAAATTATAAGAAAATAATATTAAATACATAACAAAAAACTTTAAATTATTATTAAATAAATAAAATAAGTCATATAAGTTAAAATAAAGTAAAATAAAAATATGAGTTTATAAAAAAAAATATTTAAAAATAAAACTAAATACATATAGAAAAATTAAATTAAAATAAAAGAAAATAAAATAAGTCAAATATATTAAAATAAAGTAAAATAAATAAACAAAATTATGAAAATATAATATTAAACACATAACAAAAAACTTAAATTAACATAAAATAAAATTAAATAAGCCAAATAAATGAAAATAAAGTAAAATAACAAAATTAATTAAAAAAAAAATTTTAATAAAATTAAGTACATATAAAAAAAATTGAATTAATATAAAAGAAAATAAAATAAGTCAAATATATTAAAATAAAGTAAAATAAATAAAAAATTTATAAAAAAAATATAAATAATATTAAATACATAACAAAAAAAATTTACATTAATATTAAATAAATAAAATATGTCAAATAAGTTAAAATAAAGTAAAATAAGAAAAATGAATTTATAAAAAAAATATTAAAAAAAAATTATACATATAAAAAATTAAATTAATATAAAAGAAAATAAAATAAGTCAATTATATTAAAATAAAGTAAAATACATAACAAAAAAATATAAATTAATATTAAATAAATAAAATATGTCAAATAAGTTAAAATAAAGTAAAATAAAAATTTTGGATTTATAAAAAAAAAATATTAAAAAAATAAAAATAAAAAAATAAATTTATAAAAAAATATTAAAAAATAATTAAATTAAATATATAAAAAAAAATTAACTTTACATAAAATAAAATAAAATAAGTTAAACATATTAAAATAAAGAAAAATACACAAAAAAATTATAATAAAATAATATGAAATACATATAAAAGAAAATAAAATAACTCAAATAAATAAAAATAAAAAAAAAACGAATTTATAAAAAAAATATTAAAAAAATAAAATAATAATATAAATAAATAAAAAAAATGAAAAAAATTAAATATAATGCTTAAAAGGAAATTAAATTAAATGAAAGCAAATCAATAACAATAAACAAAAAATAAATAGGATAGCAAAATAAACGTAACTAAAAAAAAAATAAAAATAAATTTATTTTATTCTATTATTATTATAACAACGAAGCATTAATCTATAATTAACAATTTTTTAAAAGTTAAAAATAATGGATTAGTACAAAAGTATGTTGCGTGGTTAATGAAAATTGTTTGACAAATAAATCTAAGCTTAATTGTGGCTTTTAAAATTCCAGACATATTAT